TGAAACGAAATACAGATGGATCTCTTGTGATGCAATAGTGAATAATTGTTATCAGGACTGATTGTGAGGGTTGGAAATCTAAAGGTGGACATTTTGTAGCAAGGAGGGCAGTGATTAACTTTTCAGTCTAGGAGCGGAGGACCCTGGGACCATTGATGGAGAAGAGCAGAGAGCGGTGAGGCCTGAGATGGAGGCAGAGAAGACAATGTCAACAGATGGTGTGGCTGGGGACTCGGGATCAGGAGATGGAAAGGGGCTGAGGACTGTAGTGGGGGTGGGGTACACCCCTTGGTTGGGTGAGAATGCATGGACAGGATGGTAACTATGCTAACGAAATGATAGATGATGGAATGAATGTAAAGCTAATGTTCTCCCATGTAGACTATCACACAATTCACAATAAAACATCTAAAACACAAAAAGACCAGATTTACTAATCAGCTAGAAACTAGTGGAACCCTGAGACTATCTATAGTCCTCGGTCAGTCTTCAGGTCTGGAACGGAACTCACCCCATGGTTCATTTTTCAGCCAAGCAATAGGTAGGTATATAGGGAACCACACTAGTGAGGTATAACACACACCACAGAATGGTCAACCACTGGAGCTAGAAAGGGCAACATCTACCCAAGGCCAAAGTTCAGAAGGCTGGGAAAGAAGGAGGAATGGAAACAGGAAACACAAACAGGGGAGGAAGTGGGATTAGCAATGTTACATTGAATGGTTGCAACAGAGATGAAACCAAGTGTACGATTTGTTGAATGTAAAACTGATGATCTCTGTAAACCTTCACTCAATGCACAGTAAAAGGTTCTTTAAAAAACTTATTCACTGAAGTCTTTGTAAAACCAAATAAGAGTTTAGCTTACCTCATATAAATGTCTGCCTTGATCATTATGCTCTTTTAAAGACTATCTCTATGGGATCAAATTGACAACAGTAACTTGAAAGATTAGAGAGGAACCTTATGGGACAGTAAGTTTTATGTTAATGTGGAAAGAACAACTCAGAAAAGGAGCATGAGAATGGTTACACAACTCAAAAAATGTCATCACTGTCACTAACTTACACGTGTTGTTGTTGTTAAGTGCTGTCAAGCTGGTTCTAACTCATAGCCACCCTGTGTAGGGTTTCCAAGGAACAACCGGTAGGTTTGAACTGCTGACCTTGCAGTCCAAACTGACGTTGCAGTCCAGCTCATTATCCTGCAGCACCACACCAGGACTCCAAAATTGTTCATGTAGAAACTATTAAATTGGTGTACATTTTGCTATGTATGCTCTAAACAACAACAACAAATTAAAAAAAAAAAAAAAAAGTAGCATGGTCTACGTACTTCCTTTTGATCTGGGCTGTAGGACCGGTGGATCCGTTTGCAAGCAGCTTCCACTTGCTATCCTGGAAGCCAAGCACCATGCTGTGGGGAAGCCTAGGCAGTTCATGGAGAGGCCCACACGGACAGGAACCAAGAACCAGAAGCCGTGTGCCAGGCACAGGAGTGCACCATTTTGGAAGGCGATCCACCGTCCCTAACTGAAGTACCCTAGCTGGAGTCACAAGAAGTCCAGCCCCAAATGCAGTTTTAGTAGCAAAATAATGACCATTGTGTTTTAGCCTCTAAGTTTTAGGGTGGTTTATTACATCACAATAGGAAACTGGAACCCTATTTTTTGATGTTCTTGGAAGGAACAAGCTTGTAATAAAAGAATAGCTTGCTTATTCTACTTTCGATTTACCACTTTGTGTTATTTTTGAGTAGCACAAAGCACAGGCTTAGAGTCTGACTGGCAAGATTTGAAACCTTACAAATTTATTCATGTCTTGGTGCTTCTGTTTTTACATCTATATAAAGAAGACAATAGCCTACCTCCTAGGATATTATTATGGGAAGTCGCAAGAATCAAGAAGAAAAAAGGCAGTTTTAAAGAATGGAGGTGGAGGAGAGGAGAAAGAAGAAAAGATTAGGAAATCTTAGAAGCAAGGAAAGGAACAGGAATGTGATGGAAAATCATGGTGAGGCCTGGAAAAAGGGGGTTCCTAGCAGACCTGGGCACCAAATAAGAGTGGGCTTTAGAGGTTGGTTTCTCGGCTTTAGCAGCTCTATGTCTTCCAGAAACTTCAGCAGGGTCAGTCTGGGCTGAGTAACAGGGTAGCTCCTATCAACAGCACCGCAACGGTTGTTGATTCTAACTCTTTGGTCCTCAAGCACCCTCAAAAACCTGAATAAAGTTTTGCAGGCATGCCTGTCTGCCCCTCCTTTAGGCCTGAGCATGCCCTCCCTTCACATCTTTTGACTTGATTGCTGATGCCTGAAATTCTTCTTACATAGGAAAGAAAAACATTTTACTCTACATTCAAAGGGAAGAAAAAAAAAGATGACAGAAATGCCAAGGTCTGGCTGAGGTAATACAGAGCTTACTGAGTTTCGGTTCATGAACCTGCCAAGTGAGGCTGGGTTGTGCAGCTCTGGGGATTTCTCAAAGCCTGGAAGGGGTAGCTGCAGGGGACAGGAACTAAGAGTTGATTGCGACCCATGAAGTGTCAGGTCATGGACCACAGACAGCAAGAAATAAATTTAAATCAACTTGTGCAATTTCCAATGCCTTGTTCAACAAATACTTATTGAACGAGTTAAATATGTAATCTACCAGAACTTGCACTGTGCTCCTAACAACATGAACCTAAAAGTTGGAGAGCATCAGGACAGACAAGCAGGAGTCACCATCAACAGAAGATGAAAGGTTCTACACGAAGGAAAAGCAAAAGGGCTGAGGATACAGCAGGAAAACTCTAGACTTCAGCACTATCTAGAGTCATGTTTATTTTTGCATGAAAAAAATAAATGAGAAGCAAAATAGACCAGTAGGTTAACAATATAGATTCTGGAGTCAGACTGCCTGGACTTAAATCCTAGTTCTGCTATTTACTAGTTGTGCGACATTGGCTAAGAGTGCCTTAACTTCTGTGTGCCTCAGTTTTCTTGTCCCTAGAATGGAGACATTCACTGGGTTACGTGAAAAGCCAGGGAGTTCTACAAGTAAAGTGCTCAGAATAGTACCTGGCACACAGGAAATGCTATTTAAAATATTAACTGTAATTATGACTACTACTATTACGAAGATGATAATTATATTCTAGTAATTCAGGAAGCTTTGTTGTTGCAAGAACAGCCTTGTTCCCAAGAGATTCATTATGGAAGTATTTCTATAAATAAGGCACGTAAGTAGAGAAAGGGTATGTTGGTATAGAAAACTCACGACTACTCAGGGAATAATTAAATGCACTTTAGGTATTAAACTTATTTCTCTATTTGTATTTTGCTAGTTATTACATCATTCTTTATAATATAAGGAGTGAGAGAAGGTGTGTCAAAATGAGACAAGTCATAAACTAGTACAATCTAATAAATGTTCAGAATTTAAATGATTTCGTTGAAGAGAACATGGCAACACTGGCTTAGATGAAATTATCAGATACTCTCCTCGATGCCTTATATAGTCAGGGATGAGAATGAGAGGGATTTGGGGCAAACATTCACAAAGAAACAGGACTCAAGACCTAAAACTTAGAGGAGAGTTTGTGACACTAGACTGAATGTGGTGAAAATGAGGCAAGCCTTATTTCTCTTAAGTCAAAACTGGGTTTGGGTTTCTAGAAAAATCTATTTCAAAACATGACCACAGAGTATGCATCTCATATAACCTGAGAACAAGATGAAGGGAATTTTTCTAATACAAGAAGAAATGGGTAAAGGAGTAGAAGATTAACTGGTGGTAGGAGAGATTTGCTTTTGGTATGATATTACAAGAGAATTATGCACACACAATATGGTTACATAACTTATCTCTTACAGAGACTTGCTCCTATTGATTTACAAATTAAAAACCAAAACCAACTTTCTTAGCCTCTGAATTTTTAAGATTGTTTTTTTTTTTCTTTAGTAAGCATGAATGCTCTTATTATGACATAAACTTGTATTTTATGTTAAGTCAGTTTACAGTAAAGACACTGCATTTTATGTATAATTGTAGAGAACGTAACATGGATTGTGTTGTTCACTGGATTGTTTAATACATAAACTGGAAAATACTCTGTAGAAAATAGTAAAAATGATTTAACATTTTCCATACTAGCTCAAGCCCATTTAAACGAAGGCATAGCTGAATCATATGGTTCAAGTTCTGGAATCCAGAGAAAACGTTAGCTTCACTTATTCTTAAAGCTATGTTGTTCTTAAAATTAAGGTGCATAAAATGAAATCCCTAGAAATATCCCACACACCCCTTCTTATTCTTAGTTTACACATGATTTTTTTTTTTTCCTTTAGGCCAATCAACACCAAGATTTTAGCTGTCCCTCCTTATAGGATAGATACCAGTTCCTTTTAATCTACTAAGACTGATTTTTGAAGAAGAGATACTTTGCTTGCCTCTACTGTAGCGATGCAAGATAAGCACTGGATTGCTAACCACAAAGTCGGCAGTTCAAACCCACCATCTGCTCCTCAGAAACCCTATACAGGGTCACTATAAGTCAAAACCAACTTGACGACATGTAGCAACTACAGCAAAGAGACCCAAACATATTGAGTACCTACTATGCATCAGGAATCCTGGTGTGGCACTGTAGGATAAGCATCGGACTGCTAGCTGCAAGGTAGATGGTTCAAACCTACCAGCTGCTCATTAGAAACCTTATATAGGATCGGTATGAGTCAGACCTGACTTGACATCATTTAACAAAAACACCACCACTATGTATCAGGTATAAGCAAAGTATTTTATATACATGATCTCAGTTAATCTTTATAATAATCCTTTGCATACACGAAAAGAGTGTAGCAGAGAGAGAGAGAAGAAAAAAATATTGCAATAAACTAACACTCTTTATAAATAATGGAATATACTCAAGGTCTATTTTTATTCCAAAGCTCATACATGCGATACATACTTCATTATACTGCTTAAGGCATGCCAGACAGATGTCTTAGCATCCACTTGCCTGAATGTTAGTGTCTGCCCGCAGAAATAGGTTGGAGCGCTTGAGTAGAGAACACCTGATGAGTCACAATCATTCCGGAGTGCTATATTTCTTCGACTGCTCAAACTATACCCCTCGAAGCCAGCTGTCCATTCTTTCAAAAGCAAAGACATTAAAAATTATTAGAATCCTTTGAAGATTGAATGTATCTTCAATACAGATGCATTAAATAAAACCATGAGCAATAAAATAAAAGGTTCATGGTCAATTCCAAAAGTTACAAAAAAGATCTATTTCTATTTCTGTGCAATTTTGGCATGGAAAACCAAGCAAGTATTATCTTCCATCTAATAAAATCATGCTTAATGCATAACTGCTTGAATTTAATTCAAGCTGATTAAGAACTAATGAACAAATGAATCTTAAGTCTTTTAAAATAGTAATGCAGGAGAAAGATCAATATAAAATGATCTAAGACTTTAAAGAAAATCCCTGTGTCCTAAGCAACATTTAAAATCTTTGGTTTTAGGTAATGCTAATGACATTACTTTTGGACTCTGGATATAAGAATTTACGAAGTTCTCAAAATTCACATAAAGTTTGAGCAGAAAGCAAAAGACATGTTCTATGTTCTCAACAACTCAGGATCTAGCCTTAGAAAAAAGGGCTGTCTGTGCATTACCCTTAGCACAATCTAGAACTAAACTTCAGGAGTGAGGAGGCAACTGCATACCGTGAGGCACCAATGTGGAATGACCTATCTGAGGGACACTCCAGGGACTCCACTCCTGCCGGCCATCTCCTCGGGCACAGACTCTGAACTGATAATCAACATTTGGATCTATGTGCAATACTATGAATTCAGTTTCAGAGCCTACGTATACATCCTCAAAGTGATTTGAAGAACATTTTCGGAACTGGAGTCTGTAATCTTGGGCTGTAAAGTCGTCATCAACCTAAGAAGAAAGGCTTTCTGTTAGTTGATTGACCAGAGGATAAATTCTTTCTGCATCTTTGCTTAAAAACTTTGAATGGGGTCACTTTGGATCCCACATTAAGGCTCACAGGTTGAACACTAGCTAGTTTTGGAAAGGCCATCAGAAAAAGGCCATGGTGATTTTCTTAATTTTTTTTTTTTATGCTTCTCAGTCTACATGAAGAATTCTGCCTCCTTTGAAGAAATTCTGCTAACCAAAAGGTCAGCGGTTCAAACCCACCAGCCACTCCACAGGAGAACGATGTGACAGTTAGCTTCTATAGCGATTAAGGCTTGAATACCATATGGGGTGGACTCCTGGAGTTGGTGTTATGGGATTACCTCTGGGCTGCGAACTACAAGGTCTGCAGTTCAAACCCATGTGCTGCTCCTTGGAAACCCTTTATAGGGTAGCTATCGGTCAGAACAGACACAGTGGCACTTAACACCACACTCCCACCATATGGGGTAGTTCTACTCTGTTCTAATCAGGTAGCTCTGAGTGGAAAATGACTCAATGGTAATGGGGTTTTCTTTTTGTTTCTTTTTTAAAGAAATCGCAAATTTTCTAGACAATAGTGCTGAAAGTAAGCCATTCATAATTCAATAAACATTCCACAACCACATCACTCATCTAACCAAGAGAGAATATCCAGAATACTCATATATAAAAAACTCCTAAAAATTAAAAGAGACAACCTAGTCAAAAGGAAAGTGGGCAAAAAAAGAATAAACATTCTACAAAACAAAAGAAAAGAAAAACAGCCAAAACACATATAAAATATTTAGCCTGGATTTGTAATATGGAAATTCAGTTTAAAGTCACAATGAGATACCACAGAGGCAAAAACTAAAGTCTGAAAATGCCAAGTATTAGTAACGATGGGGATTACAGAAACTCATATATCTATCGCTGGAGGAAAGCCAAACAGGTACAATCACTTTAGAAAAGCGTTTGGTATGACCTAGTAGTCTATACTCTAACATCTGTGTTATACTTTAGAAAAAAACTTATCAAGGAGCTTAGGAATGCTTATTACAAAAACTGGAAATAACCCAAATTATTTCTGTTAGTACTTAACAACAACAACTGATAGGTAAAAGAAAATCTCTACTTCCAAGTCCTCGTTCAAAAAAAAATTTTTTTAAAAAGACGATAGTTTAAACAAGCTGAGCACTCACTTATGAATGATGACTCATTTTGTACATAGTTTCTATCTAAAATATGATTAACTCATATGATATAATACACAAAATTCCTGGCATTATCAAGTATGGAGAAATCATACTTTAGGAATCTTATTTCACAGTATGCAGTATTGAACAGAAAATATTAACTGGTCAATATTCATTAGTACTTTTATGACTTTTCTAATTAAAAAGAAAAATGAGAGAGGTCATCTACTGAGTAGAGTTAAGTCTGTGATATAATACCTTCAAAATGGCTTATCTCAAACTGGAAGAACTACCTCAGGTTCAAGCTCCCTGTGAGTTTATTTAAATTGTAAGTCAAAGGAGATTTTTGTTTTTGAGAAAGAAGAAAATATTCAAAGATCATTAATAAAAAAATTTTGTGAAGGCCCCAGTGTTCTCAAATCCATAATGTTGAAGCCACTTCTACACATCTAAGGTACGCACCTTACACCAACGTACTATGATGCCTCCAGGCTTCTCTATGAGTTCTTCAATTTGTACTGGTGGGCGAGATGCCACCGTCCCGTGGTTAAAAATGTGGTCTTTCACTATGTTAAGAACTGAGTCATCCAACTGAGCAGATAAACAAGGTACATCAACCAGTAAAGGCACTTCTGGTAAGCTGAGGAAATAAAGCTCATGTATTTATGTAGCTTTCAACTGGCAGTTAAAAACATAAGGAATATTATAGATTAGTCACAAACTATAAAGATGCTGAAAATCCAAAAACCAAACCCACTACTATTTAATTGATTGAAATTCATAACAACCCTATAGAGGATGGGAGAACTGCTCCTTAGGGTTTCCAAAATTATAAATCTGTATAGGAACAGTCTCATATTTCTCCTGTGGAGTGGCTGGTGGGTTTGAACCATTGACCTTGCGGTTAGCCAGCTCAATGCCTAGCCCACAGTAAAACCAGGTCTCTTGACAAAGTTGCTGAAACACCCAATAAATAATGTTCATGGCTTTGCAAGATGTTTTATAAATAAATATAAACAGAAAATTGGTAGGATCACAACTATGAGGTTTATACCAAAAGCTCTGGTTTACTAAAATATGACTCCGTTTCAATAATAATGCTAAGAATTTTTTTAATTTGACCATTCTCTTACACATTGGAAATGAAGAAAATATGCAGTAATATTATATCAAAGGTTACAATCACAATGATTTCATACTAATAATACTGAATATGGGCAGTGAAACCCTGAATAATATATGAGGTGGCTTCAAAAGTTTCATGGAAAAATGGAACTAAAAGATAATGGAATTTTTTCCCAAATGTTTTCAAACACCCCTAAATTCATGTTCTCTAGCTCCCTGAATCAGAACACTGAACAAGGAAAAAAAAAAAAAGAGCAGACATAGTTGAAATGTTTTTAAATAAGTCTAAAAGATACTAACTCTTTACCTGTCCAACTGAATGTGGGAGGCCTTTTTTGTAAAGTTCCACAACTTCTCATTCTGGTCTCCTACACCCCCAAGAATGGCAAGCTCACCTAGTCAGGAATTAGAGAATGAGCATGGTAAAAATGGTCACATTATACAGCAATCATCACATCACAACTGGGTCAGGTGTGCCTCTGATTTTCTTAACAAACAATTCTTAAGTGATGCTAGTCACATTTCTAAAAAGCAAAAACAGAAACTATTTTAGAAGCAATATTAAGGTTAAGGCCAAAAAGTAAAGGGGGACATCATAGCAACATTTTGCTAGAGATGAAAGATTCTGCTCTATGCAAGTGAAATCTGGTTTGTCAACCAATTTTATGTAAAACGGAAGGCCCCTGGAGTTTTTCCATCCCTCCTACAGAATCACTATCAACTCAAATATCAATCAGTAAAAACTATTACTCTAACATAAGCAGCAGGGCACACAGGGTCTTACAAAGCAAAATGATGGAGTGATGCTTTCCTTAAAAATACCACACATTCGATTAGGTATTATTCAACAGGAAATGCTCTCTAGGGACATATGAAAATGACCAACTTTGATGTTCTCCCACAGCTTTGAAAAGCATTAGCTGAACTCTTTTCTCTCAGATTGTGCCTTGTCCTAACTCAACTTTTTAAAATTCAGATGATCTTTTCCCTCTCCAAAAGGAAAACAGATACACACTGAAAAGTGCCACCAAATCCTCAAAATTCCATTAAGTTTTATCCCTAAGGGGGTAAAAAAGAGTTTGAAATGGAAAAGATTCCTCAAGTATAAAAATATCCAAGCATCAAATGCTATAACAAACTGTATATGCCTCGAAGGATTTCTTTTCTAAAAAGAAAATGTGTCTCAGTCCTCAGAGAGATGGGTGTAGAATCATGAGCTGGGCTGAACTGTTTCTGAATTCTAAGTCTCTAGAGGAATTCAGACCCTGGTATGGAGCTCTAGGATAAGCACTAGACTGTGAACCACAAGGTCGACAGTTCAAACCCACCAACAGCTCCTGAGAAACTATACAGGATCGTTATGAGTCATAACCGACTTATCAGCACTTAATAACAATGGTGGAAGATAAGCTGCGGCCTTGCTAAAAAGAAATTTCTCAAAGGCACTGCTCTGGTCAGTGGCAAACAAACACTTTTCATTAAAGACAGGACAAACAATGTAATTAGCTTATAGAAATAATAATACTAGTGCTGTGTTTTAAGTGGGATGAAAAAGGAGATTAATTTTCATTTGGAGTGCTAGATTGGTGACCTAGTCACACTTTTTATCTTATGCCATTCATAACACTCAGTCCTTAGAATGCAAAGTGTTCGGGCTCCTTCCCTGGATCTTTTTGGGCAACTTCCATTTAAATATTGATGTACCTGAAAGTTCTACCTTCTGCTGCCTCTTTTCTCATGTTATACACAATCTTGTCATCATTTTACTTATTCCTATGGGTTCCCATTTGATGCATATGCTATTTAGTGCCATATTGACATCTGGTATGATCTTTCTCCTAGGCATCATACTCACATTCCCAAGTGGCATATTCAGCATTTTCAAACTCAGCATGCTCAAAAACTGAACGAATCCACTAACAGCCACTTCTCCTCCTCTGTTTCCAGTTTCAGTAAGTGACACCACCATTTATCCAAACCACCATCCCAAACTGAATGCTGTAGAATTAATTCTGACTCATAACGACCCCATAGGACAGAGCAGAACTGCCCCATAGGGTTTCCAAGGCAGTAAATCTTAACAGAAGTAGACAGCCACATCTTTCTCCTGCAGAGTTGGCTGGAGGTTTTGAACCATTAACCTTTTTTTTTTTTTCCTCAAATCTACTCATAAGAGAGCAGTAGATATGCTATGTATACATGAATGCATGGGCTTGGATGTGTGAAATCAGCATAAAAACACACATCTATAGATTCCTATAAATCACATAACAAAACCATATGGCCATTAACCATGGACTCAGAAGGCAACTATATTCTTTTTTTTTTTTTTTTTTTGAACCATTAACCTTTGGGCTGGCAGCCAAATGCTTTAACCATTACACCACAAAAGCTCCTATGAGTCATCCATCCAGTCATCCTAAAGCCTTCCCTCTTCTTTCCCTTCTATATTCAAGCTGTTATCAAAAATCATTAATTATTGATTAGTAAAATCATCAGTAATTCTATCTCCTAAAAATTTCTGAAAGCTAGCCCTGTCTCACCTTTACCTGTCACTGCCCTTTATCACCTGGGTTACTGCTACAACTTTCTACTCAGTCCCTTTGCCTCCAGACTTACCACCTTTAGTACAGGCTCCAAACTATAAGCAGTGTCGTCAAAAAGAAAGGGGAAAAAAGAAAAGCAAATCTGATTGTGTAACTCTGCTGATTAAAATACATCATCGTATCACTGAACATCGTTCATGCTGATACCTCCTCTTCTCCCTTTTTTGCTTAAAGAACTCCTTCGAGCCTCTGTGTAATTACTCCCACAGAAGCTAGCCTTAACTTTTCCAGAGAGAGGTAAGCATTTCCTTCTTTGTGTCCCATAAGGTCTAATTCCCTCTCTGTGTATTATGTATGTCCCACTAGACTATGAACCCCGAAGGGCAGAACTGTGTTCTACCTTATCCTTTTATTCAATGCATCTGACAAACACCTGTATTGGAGGAAGGAAAGAAGGTATGAAGGAAGGGAGGCAGTAGAGCAAGATCTAGGCATAAATAAAAGAATTTGCTGAAGATAGGAAATGTAACAACTATAAATTCAGGAGTAAACACTAATCTCATACTCTAAATCTTTTTAAAAACAACAATGGAATAAAATTCCATGAATCATAAACAGTCTGAAAAATATCTTAACAGACTCACAATGACCTTAAAATACGTTGTGCCAACAATGAATGCAGTACTTTTATAGAACCATTTGAGAAATCATTTACTCCTTGTTTTATAAATGACTGTCAATAACTTACCCTGTGATACCGGACTGTGTATCTGTCACCCAATGTTACAAACTGTCCCAAGGTAGGACTACCCCAAGGACCCCACAGGCAGCAAGAAGCTTGCCGGTATCCTGAGAGGGCAGCAAAGTGTTGCTCTCAAAGAATCACATTTAACAGGCTCCCTGGACTCCCACCTTCTCGGACTAAGTCCTCTGCAGTGTTGACTCCATGCTCTATGAGCTTCTGACAGTCATCTAGTGGTTTAATGGTCTCCTGTTCAATGACGTCCACTTCTTGCAAAAGGGTCATCAATCGTTCATCCAGGAGCTTCTCAAGGGTTCCCTTTAAATCACTAAAATGCTGTTTGAGGACATCCCTGGTCTGTGATGCACTTTCTTTGATCTGAAAAGAAGTTACATAAAAACTCAAAATCAGAAGTTCTACAAAAGGAGTCCCGGTGTGGCATTGCAAAATAATGCAAGGTCAGTTTGAATCGGAAGGTCGGCAGTTCAAACTCACCAGACACTCTGGGAAACCCTATACAGGGTAGCTTTGCGCTGGAACTGACGCAACGGCACTTAACAACAACAATAAAACGTTAATCCATATGCATCATCCATAATAATCTTAAACCACTAAAGAACCATTGGTCTTTTATTCATTGATAAACTATCTGTAATTCATTTGTAGAAACTGCCAGAATTGTATAGAATTGGCCTTCAGGTAATACAGAATGAGCTTTGGTTCCATCATTCACAGAGAGTATCACTTTAACCCACCCCCCTGCCACTTTAACCCAACCCCCTGGTTCATATTTAGCCAAGTTAATTAAGCATCTGTGCTTCAGTTTCCTTATTTGTAAAATGAGTGCTTGCCTCATGGGAGTTTCTGTGAGGATTAAGCAATATAAGCTACCTACTGCACTTAGTACAATGTCTGGCACATAGATTTCAAGAAATAAACACACTGTCATTGAATCCAATCTGATTCATAGCAACCCTATATAAGTTTCCAAGACTGTAAACCTTTACAGGAGCAGATAGCCTTATCTTTCTCCTGAGGAGTGGCTGGTGAGTTTGAACTGCCAATCTTGCAGTTAGCAGCCCAACGATGCTTAACCCACAACACCACCAGGGCTCATTTGTACAGAATAATAGTTCTTAGCACTAGCATGTTTCAGCATTAAACATTTTAAACTAAGAGAAGCAAAGAAATGGTACATCAGAAAGCCATACACAATACAAAACAAAACACATACAAAAAATTATCTCATGGATAAAATGCCCTCATTGTGCTAAAAGAAAACTAAGAATTTATTTAAAATTCAAGGAGACTCACAGGAGGCAGAGAACACTCAAGAAACACAAGCATCTGGAACAATGACTTAATCCTTTTCAGTCATAATTCTCTTTGAGAATCCTGATGAGGGTTTTATAGGTATTCTTTAAAAAATGAATAATCCATATCCAAAAGAAATGTATCCAATGCCAGAGGCTTTACAAATCCCAATCATGGCTAGCCTACAGCAGTAATACAGAAACTTGGTTTGAATGGGACTCATCAGGCTGCTTGTTTATTGAAAATGAAGATTGCAGGGCTTCATCCCAAATCTACTGAGTCTGAATGCTAGAAGTGGGACTGGAGGAATGTATGGACAGAGATCTCATTTTAAACAAACACATCTATGATTCTATAGCTTGGGCATTGAGTACCACTACCCATGTCTACAGACTCCCAGATTAAAACCTCTTGTTCCTGGGGATATGACAGGAAAATATTCATATCTCCTGTCTATTGTGAAATCAAATTTGAAAGCTATACAGACTAACTAAACTTGTTTAAAAAAGAAGAGGAATTTATATAACACACAATTCATTTATCTCAATTAACAGGGGCATTCTAACTCTGAGCTAATAACTACTTAGGTGAATTATGGTAAACATACACAGCAGATATTAGTTTCATTTGGCATATTATGTTTCCCAACATAACCCTTTTGCTAACTTTATCTCGGAAAAAGTTTGAAATATAAGAAAAACCCACCAAGAAAGAATACATGAAAGAAACATCCAGCTGATATAAAGTGAGGGGAGATGCACAAGAACACCCATACCTGCAGATAGTACCCATTTGACCTGGCTTCAATGGCTGGGTGATCAGAACTCAACTAGAGGAAGAAAGAAGAGGAAAAAAAGAGTAATCTGCTATAATTTGATGAACTTGACCTATACTTATGGATGTAGTAGCTCAAAAGAGGGAATAAATCTTTACAGTGAGGATCATTCCCACCCCCTCGATATACACGGTTGACGGGAATGGGCAACTTAAGACACTGGCTACCCAAAATGGGGAGACAACAAAGGCACGAAGTGACTGGCTTACAAGCTTTCAAGAGGGAGCCTAGTTCCAGAGGGTGCGGGGGAAGGTAGAATCTCCATTGAGTGGTTCCCAGCCTGTCTAGACAAGACTGGTGAAAGGCGATGAGGATAAGTCTCTTATGGTTCAGTAGTGAATAATTACTATTAGGACTGATTGTGAGTGTTGCAAATGTAAAGGTAGACATTTTGTAACAAAAGGAGAGAGGTGGTTGATATTGCAGTCCAGGAGCAGAGGCCCCTGGGACCACCAAGGGAGAAGAGTGGAGTGCTGGACCCTACCCAGAGAAGCAGTGAAGCCAGATATGGAGACAGAGATGCTGACGAGGAGAGATGGAGTGGCTGGGGACTCTGGACTCAGGGAGGGAGAGGGGCTGTGTGCTGATGGCCAGGAGGACAGGCTTGTGGGGTATACCAGGCTTGTGGTAGTTTGAATGGTTATATATTCCTGAGAAAACAAAACAAAAACAGAGGGAATGGAAGCAAATGCTGTTGAATGATGATGCATGGGAGGGGATTGTAATCATTGCAATGAAATGAAATACGATAGGATGAATGTGAAGAAGAAGAAAAGAGAATATATGAAAACATGGATAGGGAACAATATTTCAATAATTTTCAGTTAGTACAGAAAGTAAGAAAGTCTTCTATTTACTCTACAACAATAAATTTAAGCAGCAAACTACAAAATTGTTTACCAGCGATGTTCCTAACCATGTAAAACCAAAAGAAGACCATGGCCAAGGACTAAAAAGAAACACAAGAAGAAAGAAAGAAAAAGAACAGAGTTTGATTTGCTGGGATGAATACAACATAGAAGCAATTTTTCTCCTTTAGCCTTTGCTGTAGTTACAGTGGTATTTGTACAACTAATAAAAGAATTCAACAGGGAGCTCTGATAGCATAGTGGTTACAAATAGGGCTGTGAACCTCAAGTTCAGCAGTTCGAAACTACCAACTGTTCCCTGCGAGAAAGATGAGGCTTTCTGCTCCCGTAAAGATTTACAGCCTCGGAAACCCTGTGCAGGGTCGCTATGAGTCAGAACTGACTCCCCAGCACATAACCACCACCACCACCACTCAACAGTAGTATCCTAGAGCACTGGACTCTAACCATAAGAAGCAGTGCCTTAAGAGCTCAAGAAGAATGAAGACATCACATCAGAGCAGTGTAATACATTTTACACCCCACCATTAAGGGGAAATTCTGCAGTTGAACTATACCCCCGCCCCCAGCCTCACTCTTTACCGGATACGGCACATGCAGGAAGCACATTGGTTAGGTAAAGTCAGCTTCCTCTTTAGAAAGAATTCAGAAGTTCCTTCCCTGCTGCAGAACCTATGTTCTGTTTTTGTTTCAGAATTTAAGAAAGAAAGAGAGAAAAGGAAGTATATGAGCACAAAGCAGAGAAAGAAGTACGGAAGGAAGAAACCATTTCCAAGACCACCTCCTTTGCTCTCTTTCTAAGTTTGGTCCCTAGAATCCAAACCATCTCTATTTCAAATCTGATACCACCTTGGAATTGTTTTCTTTTCCATTAAATAATTCATATATGAAAGCTTCTGTCACTTTCTATCCAATCATGTGTCTGATCAACTTCATTTGCTTTGGCTTTATGAAAACTCATTTAAAAATGTGACATCACTGCTGAGTGAATTGGGCTGTAAACACTTCTGGCTATAACACAAATCTTTATTGTTGCTGTATGCTGTCCAGTGGATGATGATTCATAACGATCCGACAGGACAGGGTAGAACTGCCACATAGGATTTTCTAGACTGTAATCCTTATGAGAGCAGATCAGCAGGTCTTCACTCCACAGAGCCACTGGTAGGTTTGAATCACCTTTCAGTTCACAGCTTAACCACAGAGCCATAAGGGCTCCTTCACTTCCATCTTGCACCCACATAAAGTAGACAACCAATCAGCTCTAAGTGCTAGCTATCCATCTACAGGTGAAAACAGCAGGGATGCCTTGTAACAATGTAAGGATTTAAGAAGTATACAAAAGATAGACTACTGGAGGTATCAAAAAAGAAACCATGTATATACATTGTTTATGTTATGAATAACGTCAGAACTAATTTCCCACTAAAATCTCTACTGTAACAGACCATTAAAATTTACAAAGGTTCTACTGCAACTGAATCTGATTCTAATCTCAGCACAACTGATTTTTTTTTCTTTTTTTTTTTAAAGTTTCAACAAGAGATAAACTCATAAAATGCCAAAGAAGATTTATACTTCAATAATAAACCACACCAAAAAAAAGCCCGAGGAACAGGAAGGGGCTTAAAAAGTTCATGGAAAAATAAGACTAAAAGATTATGGAATTTTTCCATAATTTTTTTAAAGGCCCCTCATAGTAAATTTCATATAAACTGAGAAAAAAATATTTTGGTTAGTTTCTTCAATTTCAGTTGGTGTAAATATTTACCTTTTTAAAATCTCATTATTGCTGGAGTCCTGGTGTGGTGCTGTAGGATAAAGTACTGGACCGCAAGGTCAGTTTGAACAAGATGGGTAGTTCAAATCCACCAGCTGACCTTTGGAAACCCTATACAGGATTGCTATAGTCAAAACTGATTTGATGGTACTTAATAACAAAAATTCTTGTTAGCTAATAGTTTTTTAAACCAGTCTATAGTTTAAATCACTTTTAGTTTCCTATTAGGAAAATAATTAGGGGGAAAAAAAATTCTTAGATTAGGACTTGGAGGATGAAAATTATTTTCTTCTTTTCTAAAGTCATAAAAATGAATGTTGCAAAGGAGCTAGTGGTATATTCCAGCTACTTATTTCCTGAAATATTAGAGGGTTTCAAAACTTCATGGGAAAATTCCATTACCTTTCAATTCTATTGTTCCATGAACTTTTTTAAAGCCCCCTCATACATGAACTATTTGTCTTTGCACTGACACCAGGACCAAACCAAAACCTAACCCATTATATAGAATCAATTTCAACTCACAGGACTCTAGGAAACTAAAGTACAACTGCCCCATAGTTTCCAAAGATGTCATCTT